TCAAGTTTGATCAGCTCCGGGCTTTGGGCCCAATAAGTGGGTCTGCTCAACGTTGTAGTTGGAAAGATGGAACTTAGAAGGCCAGAAATGCTAAAACACACACATTGATTTAGTAATGCAGTAAGGATAGAATATTGAGATACCCTTTATTTCAAAGTGTCTCATATGACACATAAAAACACATCACATTAAAAAACTGCGCAACTTCATCATGACCATGACACATTATTCAGACATTTTAGACTGCTTGCACTCCTCACAAAAATATCTTAAAGAATATTAATTACTAACCCTAAACAACTTAAACACTTTTTTCATTTTGGTTGACAAGCTGTTATGAAGCAGCTTGCCAAATTCTCTCCTGCCTCCTGAGACGGCCGGAATTAGGGATGAGATTAACTTTTGATTTGAACAATTAATTACATGTGATGTAGATGCACAAATACCAGTTTTTCTTTCTCCCAAACCCCCACCTCGCAAAACCAAAATGTCCTCTCAAAGGAACAAATCATGTCAGGGGTTTCCTAAAATGTATTTCTTAATTTTCAAAATATGTAAGAGTCACCAAAATGATAGCAATCTTACAAAAAAAAATATATTCAACTCTTCTTCATAACCAAATTCTTCAGGACTGACTGAGGAAGCTCTAGCTGTAGTAATTTCTTGAAGGCACAAAAACAGTAGCAGAGACATTTTAATGCTTAAAAACGGCCTAAAAAAAAAAGATAGTCTGGTGGATGGACAGAGGGATGCAGATTAATCTCTGCCCCTTGTCGGTGTAGGTGGCCCATAAACTCTGGTTAATAAAGCCTCTGCCTCTGGCACCCTTAAGCTGCTACCGCGGCTCAGCGCTGACAAGCCGCATTCCCTGAAGACAAGCTTTCATTAACTTGTGTGTGCGTGTGTGTGCGTGCGTGCGTGTGTGTGTGTGTGTACGTGGCAGACGGACAGAACAAGAGCCTATGTGCCTGTGCTGCCCTGCTCCTGACAGCTGCAGCTGCTGTGCCTGCACAACAAAACGAAGAGCACAACATCCTACGGGGCAGGACCGTTTTTATTCTTGTCGATTACGATTTCCACAGCTAAAAGAACTTCAAAGACTCAAAACAATGTTCTAAAGGTGTGTATTTTTAAGTAACTGTGCATGTTCTAGTTGAGGAGAGGAAAATGGCAGAGGGGTGCACAGAAATTCGAAGGAGGCTTTAATGGGACTCCAGTTCATCTGCCTACAAAGTCCGGTTCGTTTGGGATCGGAGCAGTTCCGGCGCAGTTCGAATGCTACATGCAGAACAGAGCCCACTCCAATTGCTGGGTTTCAGATGACGTAGCACCGAAGTCACCCAATGCAGATGGAGGGCGGGAAGTAAATGCACCCCATTTATTTCTGTTTATCCTGCATCAAAATATCTAAAGTCTGTGTCCGGTACAGTTGTTCCAACCGTCCTAATACAGAGAAAGATAAACGTTATTTTCGAGTTTCAAAGGTAGTTGGTCACACGGGAGTTAAATTTTAAAAACTTACTGAAAAAAAAAAGAGGAGAAAAGTGGATCAACAATTTACAGCTAAAAACAAAAGGGCTGCCAGAACTTGCAGCGCCCACTTTCTAACGGATAACGATCACATCGTTTAAATTGTATTTTTAGATATTTTATTGGCTAATTATTTAGAAAGACAACCATTCATGTGTAAGTTAAGATATATTATTTTTATGCCCTGGCGTGGTTGTCCTCGCTAGCAGGTAAAAATGGCTCAGAGTCTTTTGGCAAAGACATGAGAGAAATTCTACAACCGTTTAAATCTGATGCTGCTCTCTCTCCATGTATATGTATATGTAATATATATTTTCATTTTCTTAAGTTGTGTCTCCTTCAGAGGTTTATTGTTTTTTCCAGAAGTTCTTGGTAGAGCGCCACCACAGGCGAGGAGGTAAGCAGTTTTTTTTTTCCAAAGGTTTTGGTTTGTTTGTTTGTTTAAACACTTGAATCACACCAGCTGAAAATTCAGTAAAATGTCACAAATTTGGTTCCTAATCAAACTGAGTCTACCAAACTATAAGGTGTGAAAACACCCTAAATTGTCTGTTCGTACCTGCACATTGAAAAGCTTTAATGCTCTCTCACTATTCTGACTGGAGAGGATCCACTGCAAATATGGCAAACATAACTCAAAAGACTTAAAGTAACATTTTCAGTGTAAGTGGTTCTACATTGTAACACTCAGGAATCTGAATACAAATGCACAACACAATCAATTCCTCCCATTTCACGTCGGTGTATTGCTTCGAGAGTTGGTCTATGCAACAAAACATAATAGAATATGATTAATATTGGGGCTTTAAGGTCAATCTGCTCTCTAACAATGGGTTTGATTGTGCCCAAACCTACACTAGCCGATCCTTAATATAGGCTTTGTCACAGCTCAACACTACGACATAACAAGCTCACACTGCGAGAGTGCAACCTCAAAATATCTCCAGCTCTTGCTCACCTTGCGTGAAGTTGTACCGGGCTGAAAACCCGATGGCCTCCAGTTCGCCGTCGGCCACGAACTTGATGTAGAGGTACCGCCCGCTGGAGCGGACATAGGCAGGACTCTCCTGCCCGCAGTAGCGGCCAATGATCGGAGAGAATCCAAAGGGCCCGTCGCGGATTTCGATGTGGTCAAACCGGCACTCCCAGGACGGCTCGATGGAGTATTTCTCGTCGAAGAACAGGTCGATGCACTGACGAGGCGAGGCTGCAGCAGAGGGACCGTTTAAGAAGATCGGCAGCGGGATGGGACAGTCGTTTTGTCTCACCTTCTATGATGTAGACGCATTCCCTCTCAGGTGGGTATTTCTCAGGGTAGTTTGGAGAGGTGAAGCACCCTCCACTGGGCTCCTTTACCCATGTTCCACACTGTCCAGCAGGGGTCACACCTGAGTTGTTTTTCACTGACAAAAATAAATAAATTAGGTTGTTTTTGTTTTTTATCAAATTGGGTTTTTGTTGTTTTATTCCACATATGTTTGCCTCAGGTTTACCCCGATTTTAGTTTTGAGTCGTTTAAAAATTCTATTTTACAACAAAAAAGACTGCCACAAAAAAAGCAGGAGTGGCTACGTGAGATTCTCGTGGATTTTCTTCTCGAGTACATATTTTTTTAAAAGTAGCCTATTTAAACTTATTCTTGGTAAAAAAAAAAAATGTGAAAGACAACCAAAGTGATTATTCCTACAAGGTGATAAAACTTAACTTCAGTCAGAGAGCTCTTCAGAGCCGTTGCAAGACTGACTGCTGTCATCATCACAATTCATAATGACTCTTTCAACATATTTGGATGATACGACATTTAATTATCCTTTAGTATGAAATATTTTTCACTTTGAGCTGGACAGGATTAAAACCTTTGAAACCCCTCTATGCCCCCTGACTTACAACACGAGCCAACATTGGGGGTATTTCATTGAATTATCTGAATTTAAAAAGTAGAGAAACATTCTTTTTCAAGGAAGTGTTTCTAACATAAGCACTAATCGGGAATTCTTTTCTTCGAATGAGGCCAAAGGCATCAAACGTAGTACATCCATCTGCAATAATTTGGACACTTGCACTAAGTTATACCTTGAGCTTTTTTCGTGTTTGCTGTAGAGCCACACAGCTCAGGTGGAATGAGGCTCGCTGCCATAGCTGGGGAGCCAGAAGAGAGAGACAGAAGGAGAAATAAGAAACAGGATGTGAGCAGCAGCTGATGAGTCTTCGCAGATGGTTTGCATGTGATTTTTTTCATTTCTCTTTTCTGTCAGAGGTCACAGAGTGAACTCACCGATGGGCAGCAGAAGTTTGTGCGCCATGACGGATCCCCGAAGATGCGCACATCTGTCTCACACCGCTCCATGAAGCTGCTGCGCGCTGCGGGCACGTCGCCTCTCATCGGTCTCTGCGCGATGCGACATACCGTTGCGCCTTTCAGCTCGCCACGCATAATATGCGCCAAAGCAGCAAACGGCGGACACTTGTCCATCGGCTCGCCCGCCCTAACCCTCCCTTTTTCTCCCGGCGGCTTTAAGGATTAACTTCTCTGACACAAACCTTCACTTTTTAACCCTCCTTTCATGTGCCATCACCTCTACACGCCGTTTTACTGTGCTTAAAAAAAGTGATTTATGTAGCATCTTGCAAATTTCTTCATTTTATGAATTTTGCAGTTCTTTATTTTTTCATATCACGTAAGAATGTTCGCTTCTTACATTCTTTTGACATAGCAATCAAATCGGACATTAGGACCCACATTTATATTTTCATACCGAATTAAAAAGAAGCATTGCCAGAAAATTGTATTCATACTAAATAAGACAAATACAACATTTAATTATTTATTATTATTATTTAAACGTTCTGGTCGTTGGTTCAATGGTTGGGATGATGGACGGTTGAAGGGTAGCTGTAGAGGACTGAATATTTTGTGAGAAAAAAAACAAAACATTTTTTCATGGAAATTTTACAAATATAATATGTGCTTTTGGATACTTTTAGAATAATTGAGAGCAGATTTGACGGTTCCATGTTGTGCGTGTTCACTGTTGTCTCATTGTAATGTGACCCCCAATGCCTAAAAGCACACAAAATGTGATTTTCTTGCATTTATACAAATAAACAGTTCGCAAATCATACATTGTTCTTTCAAAAAATAATTATGAGTTTGAGCTTTAACCTAATAAGATATAGATTTCTAATTGTTACTGCAGCCCCTTAAAAACACTGACTTGGCACCAAGCCTGACTTGGCACTGAATTGAAGTTTAGCAATTTCAGCCAGCGCCACATGGGGGCGCTGGTTTCCACTGAAATACAAACAGGAAGCATGCGGGATTGCGCTGCTTGGTCAGAAAGCCTTAACAAGCCATCTTGAGACAAAAGCAAACCGTTTTGAGGTTTGCTTTTGTCATTTTAATGGTCAGTCAGATGCTTGACAAGTAAGGAATATGAACCTAAAACACTTTATTTTGAGTCTTGTGACAGTCTGTCTGAGCAGCCCAAGTAGAATCAGAAAATGGTTCATATTTGACATGTGCACTCAAAAAAATAACTCTTTGGATGAACATAAAAAAGTAATGGAAAGGATTTCCACCTGATTACTTTGCTTTATTTCAGCACTCTGCAATTCTGTCACTCCAATTTAAATCTTGTTTTCGACTGCAGTCTTTGAAGACTGATTGGTCTTATGAAGCTTTCCTCAAGTTTGGAAAACCGCTATACCTCACCCATCCTGGTGCCAGCGAACCCCGAAGATCCTGTTCAGATGAAAAAAATCCATTATTTACATTAAAGTAATGTAAATAATGTACCATTCTGTGTGGTTTTTGAAGAGTTCCTCTGTAGCCAGAAGGGGGCAGCAGAGTCCAGAAAAAAGATGCTAATAGTATCTGTCTGTCTTCACCAATATGAGTATAAATACATATATATGCACAATTGCACCCCCCGTTCCCCCTCTCTCTTTGTATATATATACTTATTTATTTATTTGTTGTGGTGTGTGGCACAAAGGATGCAGAGGAACCTGGACATTCTCTCTTTTCTTCCATCCTTTTTGCTTGTTTTTTTTCACTCTGGTGAATCCTTCCCAGGGTCAAATGGACTTTGATGTAGCCTACAGGAGAACCATCAGCCTTTTACACTCAGAATAACAAAAAAGCAGTTCATTTTAAAAAAGTGTACAGTTTTGGTTTTTTTAAAGTTTTTGTATCATTAAAATTTTAGTTATATTGACTAATACAACTAGTTAGCTAAATAGCTAACTCACTCACTCACTCATTCACTCTATGGCTTCCTAATTGTTTTTGGATGAGATGTTGCCAAACTCTTGCGTTATTATCACCTCTTGCACCCTTTTACAACTCTTGTTTTTCCTTCTCCAGCCCAAGTGTTGACTTTGTCCACATGTCAAAACTAAAAGCCTCGAACCAGCAAAGCTCGCTGTATGAAAAAGGCATCATTCACTTACCCTCACCACGTCACTTCTAGTGGGAACCTGTTCTTCCTTAAATAGATAAACCGGGACCCTCAGACTGCCCACCATCGCCCCGTGCGTGCGTGCTTGTGTTTGCGCGCGCGTAGGTGTTTGTGTCGGTGCGCACGCGCGCACGCTGAGAAAAAAGGGTCACGACACGACAGCTCGCGTTGCCAGGGGGGCGCGGCCGCAGCCTCGCGCCCGCGTTGCTAGGCGCAAATTTGTATATAAGTGCAAAAAAATGAGCGGCGATCCCGCTCAGCCTGCGGCGTCCTGAGAGAGACCTGAGGAATTCAGCAGGTACCGACAGACACTGAGCGTCTCTCTGTCCTGCCGCAGCGTGGATGTGGAGCTTGAAAGAGACCCCGGCTGCCCGAGCTCGTCTTGCCCCATGGATGGATTGAAGTGCTCGCTGTCAGTCCGCGCTGATCTCACGACGGTTCCGCATCTGGACGATTAAATCTGGCGGAAAATCCAAAACACTTCAGGACAAAGAAAAACTTCTTGCTGCCTGTAAGTATAAGATTAATCTTTTAGCTTTTATTGCTAATTCCATTCAGGTGTAATAATAGTAATAATAATAATAATAATAATGATGATGATGATAATAATAATAATAATAATAATAATAATAATAATAATAATGATAATAATAATAATATTTGCCAACAAGTAAGATTTTACTCTATCTTTATTTAATTAAGCATGCGCAGTGAGGCTTTGCTGCATAGTGTCGTGTGAACGCTGTGTTTACACTGGTCCTACTGTGTGTACTGATGCAGTGACCTGCAGATGCACCCAGAGGGCTGAAGGTGTATTAGGCTCACTGTTTTGAAGTTTGCTCCCTCGTACTCAATCAGTTATTAAAGTGGGGCCGAAAGTAAATTCAAGATGACTCTGTTTTTATTAAGCTGCTTCAGGCATTAGAGTAGATATTTAGAGTGTGGAGAAAAATCCAAGGTTTGACATCAGATGAATTTGAGCTGATTAGCAAAAATGTTGAAGAGCTAAATTAAAACCAACTTCCTGTGTCGTGCAGAGAAATCAAGCGTCCGTCGCCCCTTCGTCATGAGGAGGTCTCTTTCCCTGTCTTGCTGGGTCAGAGCGGTAGGCCTGATGCTCTGCCTGAGCCAGAGTGCTGTGGCCATGTTCCTCTCAAACTCCACGCGGCTCGACTCTATCCTGGACAATTACAAGGGCGAGGACGGCGAGTGGTGGAGGGCGAGGTCGAGGGCGAAGAGGGCCATCAGCGAGGAAGACAAGCACCTGATCCTCGACCTGCACAACAAGCTGCGGGGACAGGTCTACCCTCCGGCCTCCAACATGGAGTACATGGTAGGTTCAGAGCAAGCTGTGTGTGCTGTGATATTTCTCTCCCTAATTACATAAATGGACGATCTTGCCATTTGGAAAACAAATAACTTTTTAAGTCACAATGTGTATACCAGTGTTTTCTGACTTTTAATTCACTGTTTGTGAAGGATCCTTGCTACAGTTATAAGAAGATTTGTGTTTGTTTCACCAAGTTTGAGTTGCTACATAAATCCTGAATAGGGTTTATGTAGCAACAGTGTAGCAACAGTGTTGAACCATCTTCAACACTGAGGTGGTGAAGATGGTTTGGTAGCGGAGCACAAGTGTAAGATAGTGAAAAATTGCATACACTTTCAGTTGCTCCCTGAATATGTTTTCTGTTGCTTTAATGCTTATGCATGCTCAGTCAATGGAAAGTTGACGTTTCCGGTTATATTGAGTTGCCACCCCTTGGTTGTTTGTGTGATTTGTGGAGGATTGAGCTGCAATTCTGTCTCTGAAACCCAAAATAATTGGTTAGGAGATGGTCACAATCCATGGAAAACTGTTGTCTTCACCAGTAAAGTTGAAGAAAGGTTTCACAAACTGCGTTGTTCTGAAGAATCTATAATCAGTGTCGAGAAATCCAGTTCAGGTTTTACTACTCCTAGTGCCGAAAAAAACATTGAAAATACATTAAAAATACCCGATCTTCATAGATCTTTTAAAAAACTTTTGCCCAGTGTAGAACTAATAATAAGACTGAAAGTGAGACATAATCAAATGCATCCCAAACTCATCAAAAAACTGTGTGATAGCCTTTAGTTCAGCACTAACAGGAGCTTTGGAGTTGTTAGTGGTATTTTTATAGTGTTTAAAACTCATATCTTGTCTGAAACAATTTCTTTTTCTACTGAGGACACAAAGTGCTGATAATTAAACATCTTAAAACTTCTTCAAAGCATGTTTAATCAAGAGTTTTAAGGAAGCCTTTAGTTTGCAATTCTATCAACACATTAGGGTAAAAACCAGTTCATTGTCCTACACCACTGCTAGAGATGTACTGAGAACCGATTACTTCCTGGAGGCATATACTGCGTTGAAGTTTTAAAATTTTATCCAATTGCTGATGTTTGCCTGTGACATATGCAATGCACCAGTTTGTCGCAAAGAGGCTCACTGGAAATTGTCTGCACTGTAAACAACCATCCACCATTGGGAAGAGAGATGGTGGAAGAGAGATTGGCCTCGTTGAGCTGAACGAGGCCAATGCTAATGTTGATTCAATATTTTGAAGGGTGACGAACACGGCCTCAACAACTTTGCTCTCTTTGTCCTCATTGCCAAAACTACAGGGAGACTATGGTTACAAAACTGAAGATCGGGGTCTTCGTTCACAACTTCTCCTTCTGTTCACTAATGTTCCAGTGCCATCATAATTACCGACACCTATACTTTACTACTTTGCCGCACTGACTAAAATATTTGATAACTGATCACAGGACTTCTTATTTTTATGCTGACGAGGTGAGGTCTCAAGACCACTTTACCAACACGAGTTGAAACATTTATCCTTACAATCGAGCATCTAAGCAACAAAGCAACATTTTGTGGTGAGAGTCAGTGGGAATCATGGGATATTCATGTTGATTTTTCTGAATATGAACTCACAACCAAAACATGTCATTAGTCCTGTTTACATTGTGTAATACTGCATAACATACCCATGCACTATGTTGTTCATTTGTTTTGGGCAAAGAGTCTTCAGTACTGACACTTTCCATTGGTGGAGATATTTATATACATATATAAAATGTGTGTATTTAATATCCAATACACATTTATGTATGTCAAGGTGTGATTTGAATCAAGCAAAAAAATTTTTTTTTTGTTTTTTACTAAATATGAGGCATTTAAAATCAATTGACTGCATACTAAATTGAATTGGTTTCAGTTTAAATCTACATGTGTATATATATCATGACATTTTTACCCTCACAAATTAGAGAGACCAGTTAATTTTACAGTCATGGTTTAGGACTGCAAGCTCAATGCAGAAAGATTTGAACCAAGGACCTTCTTGCTGCGAGGCAACAGTACTACCTACAACACCACTGCTCTAAAGATAATTCATGCAAATACAATCTGATCTTACATGTATTATAAGACAGCCCAATTCAGCGTATGCCAATTGGTTGAAAGGTGTCTATGTACGGAAGCCCAAGTCGGGTTTTAGTGAGAAAGCTTCCCAAGAACAAAGTAATTTCCTGACTGCACAGAACAGGGAATAATGAAACTGAGCTCTGCAAGCCTGAGCTACTGTCTGGCTCGCCCCGAAGTCATGCCTCCTTCTTGGACGCCCTCACTGACCCTGGCCCAGGTCCAGCTTTCACCCCCGCAGTGTTGTCCTGTCCTCCACCTCAACCACCCTGCCCATCGGCCTCCGCTTCCTGCCCTGCCTGCACTCACTCCATCATTCCATTTCTCTCCATGTTGACTTTTTTTTTTTAATGCTTGACTTGCTCAATCTTCTGCCTCACTCACTGGCTATTCTGCACGCATTTTGTCGCCGTTTCTCGCTTTCTCTCTAACCTCGGGCCACATCTCTCCCTATCCATCACAGCTCACTCAAACCAATGCTGTGCTTTCTCTGATTTTGGACGCAACTTTGGGGAACTTGTTTCCAACGAGGTAGACCTCACTGGCGTGGGGACAGATTGCTTTCAGTGAGCCGAATCATGCCAGCTCTCCCTCAGCAGACTCTCTTGATAATTAAAAAACGATCAGAAATGTCCATCATCGCATCCTTTTGAGATACTACCTTGAGAAAAAAACTAACTAGACAGAGAAATATTTAATCAAAGTATGATTTCTTATATTCATCTAGATTGTGTTCTTGTCCTCCTACTAATTTTTACAATGACATTTGTAGTTGGACCCGTGTCTGCATTTAAAAAAGTTATTTTCCTTGGAAAGCGAAAACGAACCGGTCATTTTCCGCGAACCTCTCAAAAGGAGGATTTGTGGATTTTCTCCTAAGCTGGATAATTGAGATGGAAGAATAAGACATACATGAAGAACACACTGAGATGCCAGGGATCGTTAGAAATTGCAGCAAAGTTGGCGCGGTAAAGGCTTCATCTTAACCTTTTTTTTGTAAGTAGCAACGATGAATAGCTAGGGACTGATTTGGGGTTTCCAGTTCTTCAAATGAAGGAGGCTCATTGAGCTCTTAATCTGCCAGCAGAGTTAAAAGAAACAATCTTTGCCACTGTTTAAGTGTAAAAAAACGAAACAAAAAGAGCGTACTGTGCTGCACGCACAGTGTCTTACAAAAGTATCATATCCTTTAGGTGAAACAGAGACCAAGGCAAAACAGGACAGTAGAAAGAACATGATTTCCTTTGGCATGAATGAATGAAATTCATTACAACCAATTTAGTTCACATAAATAGCTTTCCTCTGAGAGTGAGGTCTTCCAAGTAGAAGTACAAATAAACTCTAAGACACATGTAGCTCTGGCAGGTTTATGTGGTAATAAAACTGTGTTGTGTTTTGTGATGACACTGTCCTCTGGAAACACAAAATGAGAGTGAAAGAGGTTCATTATATGCTGTGTCATATTGTTTCCACTTACCTCTCGTAAAGGTAAATGCACCATCTTCTACTTGTTTTCTTCACTTGGTCGTTAGTCCATTTTTAATATCTATGTGCATAAATAAGTGCCTGATGCCAAAACGTCATAATTTCACTTAACTGTATGCAGGAGAGATTTTATATTGCAGTCAATTGTATTTTTGATTCTCTTTCACATTTCCGGGGCAGTCACGATTTACTGATTGCCCCCAAAATGTGATCAGTTATGATCAAACTAAGGTAACTGTGGAGAGCTTCCCTCTGGGTCGTAATTTTGAACGGTGCGGCATAACCAGACAGGAGTGACGGAGTAGAAGATGCAGAAAGTTTGGACGAGACCAGAGGAACAGAGAGGGAAGGCTGAGATGGTTTTGACATGTTCTGGGAAAAGATAGACAGATAAGAATGAGGATGTTGGACATGGGAACTGCCAGGCAACTCCATATCTGGCAACTTGCTATGTGGTGGGCATAGCGGAGGAAGACAATGCGATGATTGATAAAACCGTTGAAGAGGCAACAGATAGATGCAGCATTAGTATATTCTCCAGTACAAATCTAGGTTTTCTAGTACTTCCTCAGAGGTTTATTAGAAAAGATGAACCTTAAGAACACAAGGGATAGATTTAAGTCGACTTGTGATCATTGTCTATGTAGCAGACATCCCAAAGTGTCAAAGTCATCAATTGTAAGAGAAAGAGTGAAACAATATCTTCTAGATTGGGAGGAACAAATGAATATATGATGCATGTTTTGTTTCAGCATTGTTTTAACCTCTAACTTTATTATGTTAAGGTATCTTTTTGTACCAGAATAAAAGGGTAAAAGGTATCAGGTTTCCCTTCATAAACCTTCACCGGTGCGTTACCTTTATGCGGAACATATGGTAAGCATTATGGTGGTCCACGATTAAGCATCATCCTATTACTCTTGACACAAGATAGGCATAATGCAGCTAAATGGTAGGCCAACAACAGTGAACACTGCATCTATTCTTTGCCCTCCCCAACAGAGTCAACAGTGCACTAATTTCACCATGGCATTTAAATTGCCCAACCCCCTACGCACAGTCTGTTTTTTTTTTGTTTTGTTTTTTTTTTCTGTTTGCTTCTGAACAAGATGTGAGTGAACTCCATTCAGGTATGTTGGCTTGAATTCACCTCGTTTTTGTTTGGTTCTTACATCTAAGACTGCATCAAGTAGCAAAACAAAGACTTTCTGTGTTGCTTGCTTTTTGGGTTTTTTTTTTAGATCAGTTACTGGAAACAAGCTATGAAACAACCACACCGAATAGTAGCACACAGCTGCAAGCTGATGTGGTGGTCTCGCACGTACGTGTCTGTGTGAAAGGAGGTGAACGTGTGCGTTGAGGCCTCGCTCTTACTGCCTGGTGTTAAAATCGCAAACAAAACAAAAAAATAGTGGGGTGAGGGGCTGGGGGCTTTTGAACTGAGTAGTAGAGAGCTGATTCCCCCTTCGGGTTCAGGCTGCCTCATGTATGTACGATTAGAGCCAAGCTGGTTTTGGTAGAACCTACGGTTGAAGAGAAGGATGAAATGTTCGAACAAGTTGTTATGAGAAGCACTTAAATCCACAAGTACGGTTAGTGGCCAATTAGTCAACTTAAATCAGCAGGGAGTTTGAGGTTCCCCTGGATGACCACATTTTTATTTTTTATTTTTTTCAGATCAAACTTTCTCCCAGCAGCAACCTGATGCTCCCACACCCTTACTGGTGCTGACGCTGACCCGAGTTTACCTTTCCTTGTCAAAATAAAGACGTTTTCATCTCTGTGAACATCGTCCGCCAATGTGTGCTTCATGTGTGCTTCATGTGTGCTTCATGTGTGCTTTTGTTTTCCAGTTATGGGATTACGAGTTGGAGAGGAGCGCGGAGTACTGGGCGCACGCCTGCCGGTGGGAGCACGGGCCGAGCCACATGCTGACACAAATAGGCCAAAACCTTGGAACGCACTGGGGCAGGTGTGTGTGAACCCATACTTTTTAAAGTTTGTTTCAGCTGCGGACGTTGCAGGACTTAAGCGTTTTCACTCAAAGTGGAATGGTACTTCCATATTGGTGGAGAAAGCTTCAAAGTAAGTCCGGTTTTTGAAAAGTTCCACTGTTATTTCCCAAGCACACAGTGGGAAATAATGTTGCAGTTTTGCTAACGCCTTCAGTAGCTGCCATCACCTACGTAAAACTAAATCTGTTTTTGTAGAATTGGATCAGTTCTTTTAGTTAGTGACCCATGATGAACTCTTGGCTGAGTTGCTGTCCCATTCGATTCCACGTTTTCTTGCTCTGGCAATGTTTAGCAGTGAGAAAATTTCACAACTTGAACGTGTTGCACTGGTGCCGTCACATCATCGTACCATGCTGGAACTTACAGTTACGGGATTACGAGTTGGAGACTCCTGACTGCAACAACAAATAATTATAATAATAATAATAATCTTTGTAGATGAAATCTGCATGATTTCATTCAGCGGTGGGTATGAAAGTGGCTGGAACATCTGAAAGAGTTCTGGCAATGAGGTACATCCTCGGTTATAGTATCACTTAAATAAAAGCTGATCTTCAAAAAAAAAAACAAATCATCTCGACCTTCAGCTGTTCGTTTGTGGTTTATGTGGCAGGCGAATATATTTGCTGGAAAATGGAATGTATCAATCTCTGTCTCCTACTGGTTCTGGTTCAGTAAAGTGTTTGAACCAGAACTGCATTGCACCAGTAGTTTAATGTAGTTCTTCACAACACTGATTTATGTTTACAAGTCATAAACACCATATCGTATTTAAATAACAATGTTTTCTGTTTCTTTTCCCTATCTCCTAGAAATCAACTGAATGGAAATAAAATACTTGATCATATATATTGTAGTTCTTGTCAGTGACATTCTTTTTGTTTAAAAATGCATAATTCTTGAACTTTAGAGACAGACCCCCGACCTACCATGTGCAGGCCTGGTATGATGAGGTGAGGTACTACAGTTACCCGTACTCCCAGGAGTGTAATCCACACTGTCCATTCAGATGTTCGGGGCCGGTTTGCACGCACTACACTCAGGTAGGAATCATCATGTCGCTTTTCTCAGAGGCTAAACGAGAGTTTATCAGTCTGTTTTTAATCAAGTTATTGAACGTGATTAGGAGATTATCTTAACTGGCCAAAACTTGTTTAGAAGATGTCATTCTTTAATTGTGCGACATAGGCCTATTTAAATCTATTCCATCAATAATCCGTTATTATACTACATTTCATCTACTCCGCATTAAAGTAATATTAGACAATAGACGACTGACTCTGTGCCTTTTGGTGTGAATAGTCTAGGAATTGGAAGGTTGGTAGTTTGATTCCACCTTCACCCAACCCATGTTGAAGTCTCATTGGGAAATACATTTAAAGCCAAGTGGTCTATATCAATGTGCATGTCGGTGCATGATTTTCTAAGTATGCGTAAGGGTGATTGAGTGAAATGAGAACGGTAAGTGTGACAGCCGAAGTGTTCAGTATGTTTAGTTCACCTTCAAGCAGCTTGTAATGTTTAAACGTCTTCGTTTTCAGCTGGTGTGGGCCACCAGCAATCGCATTGGCTGTGCCATCAACACGTGTTACAACATGAATGTTTGGGGAATGATCTGGACCAAAGCAGTTTATCTGGTCTGCAACTACTCCCCTCCGTAAGTCCGTGGACAAAGTGCAATCGATAGTTGAAGTGGTTCTGGCTCTTTTCGCAGTTTGATCGAAAATATTCAAATGTTGTTTTCTCAGGGGAAACTGGTGGGGCCACGCGCCATACAAATATGGCACACCTTGTTCTGCTTGTCCAGCCAGCTACGGTGGTGGCTGCCGAAACAACTTATGCTACAAAGGTAGGGCAGACCATCACCTGAGGGCAGAGGTGGGCAGAGGACCCAAAAATTGTACTCAACTACAACACATTTTTATTCACCAAGATGTACAAAGTAGCTATCCAAGAAGCTGCTCAAGTAAGATTAAAAAAGTATTTGGTAAAAAGTCAACTCAAGTACTGAGTAGACTTTAAAAACTACGTCATCAATATTTAAAAACTACATCATCAGACGGATCAAAGATTTACAGTTAAGTGGAAATTTTGGTGTTTTAATGACCAAAGTGACAAAATCAGGCAATCAGAAGATTTTTCAGAATCAGTTTCTTTCAGCTTTACTCAGAGTAGCGATACTTCATAGTAACATAGTACTATGTTAACTTTTAACATAGTAAAAGTTGAAAGTATAGTGCAGTAAAAATACTCCTGAAAGTAATTTTTTTCCAAAACGTTATTCATTTAAATGTAATTGAATACATGCAACTAGCTACTACCCAACTCTTCCAAAGGGCAATACATTTTCTGACCCAGCAGGTCGTTTCACCTTGTAATGCAATTTTGAAGCAGTTGTGACCTCGAAATACTTTTATCTAAGCAGGTGAATCTTTTTATTCTCATGTCTGATAACCATCGCTCAATGCAACTTAAACAAATAAGGAAAACGTAATAAGACGTGGCACAACACTTGAATGATACGACATTGCATTGTTTCTAGATGGTGGCGTTGAACGGCGTCCAGCTCCTGAAACGGAGGAAAACAACTACATTGAACCAGAACCAGTAAGAGACAGAGAGCCCCAACCGAGGGTCCGAACACCAGACCCATCACCTAATGCAAACACGGAGGGAAACCAAGTTTCCAGTACAGAGCAGATGTGTATGCACATCCCTCTTTAGTAAACCTTCTTTTCCGATACGTCTGAATTAATTTCTTAAAGCGTTTTGACTCTGACTGAAGTGATTCTTCGTTGTCTCACAAGCCCAACAGGTTGAGTGTGAGACCAAGCTGAGAGATCAATGCAAGGGAACAACCTGTAACAGGTAAAACATCAGCTGAAAGAATATCTGTTTCTAGTGCGCATGCCTGAACCGTTTTGCCATGTTTGCGTAACATCAGCGCTGCGTGAATGTCGACCCACATGCGGCCTCTGTCCACAGATATGAATGCCCACCTGGTTGCTTTGAGCGGCCTGGGAAAGTAGTCGGGACTTCTTACTACGACATGGTAAGTGGTCACTTAAACGGAGACAGTTCATGTGTTTTGGAATGAGGTTCTATCGAAAGGTTGTAACCAGTTGACCTTCCGTACAGTAGATGACTCTGTTGGTGTCTTCAAGTCTAAAAGGGTAAATCCAGATGAATTGGTTCCTGGAAGCTGAAGTCAGGAGGTTGTGTGAGAGGGGCGAACACTAAAGCCAACCTCTGCTGTTCTGAAATAACCTCCATTATGTCACAGCAGTTTATATGCACAGGATGTGGAGGTGAGAGGCAACTTGCCATCAGTGATCTTTGTGTGTGAAACTTGTACTGAGAGGAGAATGTGAAAGCGCGTTCCCTCTCACAGTAACTGGTATAAAAGTAAAATGTGTTAAAAGCAAGAAGCACAGAATAGTCTTTTAATTATTTTAACTTTTTTTGCTAAACAGATACTCTGAGAAAAAAAATATAAATTTCTGTTGCATTTCCAGCACGTTTCACACAAGAAGAACATTGGTGGTGCACCGCCTCCAGAGTACATCCATCCATCCATTTTCTAATCATCCTTCTCCCTAACGGGGTCTGGTGCCTATCTCCAGCTGCGTTCCAGGCGAGAGGCGGGGTACACCCACAGAGACAAACAGGACAAACTCTTACTAGAATCCCAACAAAAACTCTGAATTTTCACTTGGAGACAACCACCAGTGTACCATTACTGCATTTTATAACACCTTGTTTGTGAAGACTCAGATAGTCTTTGACTCGTCTTTCAGCAATCCAGTGTGTGTGGAGCGGGGCTACACTCTGGGGTCATTGACAACGACGGGGGATGGCTGGATGTGACCCGACTGGGTAGAAAACATCTATTCACCAAATCATACAAGAATGGTGTCCAATCCATTGGGTAAGGAATTTAACGTGGTGCTCATATGGACATCAATGAAATCTCTTACCCTGTATTTGTTTAAACACCATCCTTCTCCCCGGTCACTACCCTTTAATCATCTCTGCAGGAAAAATAGAAGTGCCAATTCCTTCAAAGTGGAATCAGTACCTGGTAAGAATTTTTTTTATTTAATTCTTTTGCTGCTATTATTTGCATAAGGACATACTGCAGAACAATTTTTAGCTGCATCTGCTTTACTTTCCAGTAAAAGCAATAAGATGCGATACAACAGTGGCACTTTTCTGTCCTTTCAAGAAACCCGTTCGACACTGTCCCAGGTACGACTCAGAGACTTTTACATCAATTCCATCTTGTTTTCTAGTCATGTTGCGGCAAATGCATCAGTTTCTCACCGGCAGACGTCGTGTTTACAATAAAACATATTTATATTGCTCCCATTTAAAAAAAAACAAAACGTAGATACCATCCCAAGGCACATTAAATGACATAAGTTCATTTACATAGAGTTGAACTCAAACTCAAATCAGTTCAATTCACTGAAATATAATCCAATTTTGAAGTCAAAATTAAATTACATTATATGCAGTCAGATCCAGGTGATATTTCCAAATACCTAAAAAGAAAAAATTAGTGGCGGCGGATTACAGAGCAATTGACCTTGCAGCAATCCTTCATCCTTAGCAAGCATGTGAGGACAGAGTGGAGGAGCCGCTCTCTCTTATCTGATCAGGAGCACACAGAAATAGTGAACGACAGCCTTTATTGGGAAGGAAAATAAAGAGTCACAGTTTTTGTTCTAGAAAGACACACAATTAAAACACTGGGACAGCAGTAACTTCTACTGGAAGGAAAAACCAGGAGGAGCTAAGGGCAGCAATAGCTCGGCTCAGAAAAGAGCTCAGACATCAGGAGTACTTTCTGTGGGAGAAAAAAAAAAACCCTGAATCTTTCATCACATTCTTTGAGGTGGGACCACACGGAGAAAAACTAGGATGGCCAAATTGTCAAAGTTGAGGTTTGCTATGAAGCTATTGTGGAGAAATCGGTGTCCTTTTTGTTCCCTCATTTTCCATCGAGATAATGGGAAAAGGAAAACAAAATAGAAATGGGAATTTAAGTCTCTGATTATTTATTCACTCACTCAACTTTCTTGCTGTTAATAGAAAAAACATCAGGAAATGTCCTACGACTTTGCGTTTCTCCAGGTTTTATTGCCCCAAGAACTGTTTGCATGATAGTGGAGCTCGAGTCTTTGGAACAAAGTACTATACAGATGTAAGTGTTTCCATCATTAATAACTCCTGTTCTTTGTTACTGTTTTTTTTTTTTCACCTTTTACAGAACGGTAAATAATTTGCTTTATAATATGTTGTGAAGAGATCTAGTATCTGCAGAGCAGCCATCCACGCCGGAGTAATGCGGAGTGAGTCAGGCGGCTACCTTGATGTGATGCCAGTGGACACACGGCGGCAGTACAGTGGCAGTTACCAGAACGGGATCAACTCAGAGAGGTAGATCACCTTCAGGTCTCCAGGGACTCACGTGAACAGGACATGAAGCAAGAATCCAGGAAAACCTCTACTAATTCATAAATTATGGATAATTTAGTCTTATTCTCACATGAGGAACCTATATATGTAGTTTTATACTTTTGCCTTTATGTCTTTCTTTTGGTTTTGTTGTTTTGTTCGTATTTCTTTCCAATTCATATATTGCACTTTGAACCCAAAGTTCAAAGTTGCATTTGTTGGCTATATATATATATATATATAATATATATATATATATATATATATATATATATATATATATATATATATATATATATATATATATATATATATATATATATTTAAGTCTCTGATTATATATATATATATATATAATATATATATATATATATATATATATATATATATATATATATATATATATATATATATATATATTACACTCCTCTGTTCAAACAATTATGTGCAAGTGGGCAAATATTTAGTAATAATACTATTCAGGAAGGAAACATGTATCGAGTCCCAGAGATGAATGTGTTTTGGTGAGAAATATGAATTAAGTATTTTACTAACATGGACTGAAAGACCAATCTGAGAGGAAGAAGCAAGAAATTGGAAAGAGGTTTGCTTGGCAGCCTAAAGGCATCGTCCTCGAGGGTTGCAGCACCGTGTTGGTGAACTTCCCAAAATATTGGCAATCAGTCTTAAGACATTGAGCAAAAAAGTTTAACTTTAGGTGAAATAGCACACTGCCAAATCCGTTACACTCGAAATCTCAAAATCTGTATTTTGAGTGGCCATCATTTCCCGTATCTGTTTTCAGTTGCATTCGTTGGCTAATGACACAACATTCGTGCTTTGTTTAAGTGCGTATGCATTCACAACAGAATGTCTTTTTCACTCTCTGACTCGTGTTCTTTCAGCTTACTGAGCCCCACAGGAGGAAAAGCCTTCAGAGTTTTTGCAGTCATCTGAGAAAAAGACCCGAAAGGACGAAGTACCGGCGATCGTATCTGAGAAGCCCACCCAGCGTGAAATTAACAACCGATAATTTTGCCCCGGTGTAAATAACTCAACTTGTCTGACTCAAACACTTGAAGTCCTACATGCGTTTTTCCTCAAGGATTGGCTTGTTTCTTAGGTCATAGATGAACTGCTTTCCAGTCAGCCTGTGGCGAAGGATTTTCTAGAATTATAGTTTTTCAAAGTCTTCTGGCCTGAACCTTCAGTTAGCCACAGAATACACGTGTGCCCACAATGCACTTGTGGCTGCAGTGATATCGTGACATCATGCTTTTTAACACTTAAAAATAACTAATACACACCATTCCAGTGTGTAATTTCAGGCATTAAGGTTAAAGCCTGATATCATTTTTAGTCAGAGCATTTCAGAGCTCCTCAAGTCTTTTTCTACATGCAGCAACTACATAAGGGAAAAAATGACTCAGCTAGCATTAAAGTAGGAAGCATTGTGACACAAGCTTTCTGAAATTAAACTTTGAGGTAATCAAAATGTGCAGAAACACGTACAGTTCCATTAGAGTAGGACTGGTTTTAGAAACTTTAACTCAGTTCATGCATTTCCGATCACCTCTGGCATAAATTATCTATTAACATTGAGGTTTTCAAGATTTATTTGAAATGTTAATCTTCTAAACAAGAATCTAATCCACTCGGTCAACATTGTGCATTCAGCCTCTAATGTATACACAGATTCCTCATTATTATTTGGTCACAAGAGTCCGTGGAGAGTTGCATTGTTTTCTGACTGGACGTTCAACCGCTCCTCTGATTTAGATGAGTTTTAGTTGAGTTTTAAATTGGTCCGTTTCCCGGCACAGACTCAGGAAACTCTAACCGAAATCCTTCCTAAATCAGATGCAACACTCAGGTGTCTATAAGTCTCAAACAAGATGAATTAACCCCTCAGGACCAACAAAATGCAGATGCAAAACGGTGTTTTAAACTCTGGATCAATCAGATTAAATCCATACTAAATCCATAATCAGCAACATAAACAAACTATGCAAGTTGTATTGAGGAATATTTGTCCAAATATAAAGTGGGGTGTATGAATACATTTCAGCCTTGCTGGAGAAAAGCTTCAAATAAATAATCAGAAAATTCATGTCAGCGTTAAGTATATGTAAACTTCTGACTGGGAAAATATATGAACGAAATACATGTCAATTTTAACTTTAGAAGTCCTACTTTTATTTATTTCTCTTTATGTTCAGTTATTCATTGTTCACTTATAACCAAACAGGCCACAGTGATCGACTGCTGAACGGAAACATAACATGGGCTAAAAGGCACATTGTATATTTTGTACATGGTTTTGTTGTACATAGTGCTTAACGTGCTTGCTATTGTCTATTTCTGTCTACTTTTTTTTTGTTGTTTTTTTGTTTTTTGACTTCAATCTTTTGGAGGCTGTACAAAAAAAACGTACAAAATCATGATAGTCAAACAACCTGCATGCAAAGATATATATTTGCAACATATGCATTTCTTTTCATAAATTAAGAAATCTACTCTACTGTCAGTTGTGTATAAAAAATTGTAACATATTTGATGTTTTTTGCTATATTTTTTCAGCTTCTGTTTAATCCTGGCTGGCCAGGAACCTGCATGGCAGAATCACAATTAAAAGAGTTCAAACCTCATTGTGTCACTTCTTTTCATGTGTCAGACACTCACCAACAGATTCATTTAGCTCTGTGTAAAGTAAGGGTTAAAATCTAGTATAACATAAAATGAAAAAGGATAAATGGAAGGTTGGAAGATGCACTCACATACAGTCTGCAGTGACAAAGTTTATTATTTAATAACGAGGGTCCATCTGAAAGTGTTGCATGGGTTTATGGGGTAGGATATTCATATGTTTTTTACATCTTCCTACTCCTTTTTACTCTATCATGTTCGAAATAAATAAAAAATAAAGCGATAAATGGTTTCATATTGCACTTATATGTATCTTTTACTGTAAAAAAAAAACAACAACAACAAATAACTTCCTGAAGTTACCAGATTATTTGTAGAGATGTGAATAAAAATTTTGGTAAAATTACATCATTTTAAAAGGCACATTGTATATTTTATGTTTCATCAGTCTCACCTAATCAATCAATCAATCAACTTATCTGTCTGATGCAAAATATTTAACTTCCCTGGAAATGATCATATTCAAAAAGACCAGGCGTGTCACTCACACGTACTCCAAAAAAACTCAGGCATTTTTACTCATTAAATATTCATTATATCCTTATTCTTCCACCTTACTCTTGTGTTCTGCTTTATTTCAGTATATCATGCAAAATTGAATAAAATTCTTATTTAAAAAAAGCCTAGTCAAATTTGATATGTGTGATGAAAAAATAAAGAACCTGAATGGGTATAAATGCTTTTGCAAGGCTACATCCTCCTAATCCCAAATGAAAGGTGAAGAGATCGCTCTGCTTCTTAGTGTATATTACAGCTATATTACTGCATATATTACTGCATTAGAGCGATCATATCACACCAGCGTCTGTCCGTCCCACTGTTTAGTTAAAGGTTCAGACGTCCCAAGCTCAGCTGCAGATCAAACTGTGGAGAACTCTGTGTGTTTCCAGGAACCGGGGGGACCGCAGAGGTACAGAAACCCGGCTGCTCCGGGGCCAAGGAGGAGATTTTATCTTTTAGCTGCTTTTGTGTGTTTGAAGCAGAGTGCAAAAATGTTTTTTTTAACCAATCAAAACACGCGTAAGCTGTTCGGATTCGGATCTCAAAAGCATTTAGAGTCGCGAATACGATTTATGTTGTCACAGTTAAAGGGTCCATTAAGACAAAAATCACAACTCTGCACTAAAGGTTTCATCTTTCACGCCGCTTCCTGCGCCGCTTCTTATCGCCTCTGCTTGCAGAGCGGGCGACCTTTGATCTCGGCCCTGTGAGTGAAGAGATGTAAAAGCACTTCGCCCCCCTCCCCTCGCCGTGGCAGTGGCCGACACACACAAAGACCAACTTTGTGTGCTGTGGATCTTATCGCTGAGACTCTCTTATCGTCCCAGGATGAATTTCCTCTCCTTCCTCTGGCTCAGATGTGTTGAGGTCCTGGCTCACAGATCTTCCTTTGATCAACTTGTATTGCAGACGGAGCGTACCCCCAAACAAAATCACTCTGCAAAACTACAAAAATGATCCATGTGGGTACATGTGTATAATACTGAAGGGATTGCATTCAAAAAAAAAAAGAAAGAAAGACAAGTACAGCTGTTGCAACAGTAACACAAGCCTGCTTGAAGTGGACGTGGCCTCCCACTGAATGTGAAGGATATCACATGAAGAAATCTAGAATGAAATGTGCTGACTGGGTCTGGGCCAGGTTTTCCTGGAGGAGGGAGCAGCGCAGCCCTGCTAAAATTCACAAGACCTTGTTGCAGGGGCAGCCGCTGGCGCACGGACCCCTCTGGCCAATTGGCCAACTCATCAATCACAACAGATCCATTTAACCAACCTTTCAATTAGCTTTTCCGCTGGGTCAGTGACAGGCGTATTTCGACGCTCACGTTGGCCACTCAACAGAAAGATAACAAATTTGCTTAGGAAAGCAGCAACAGACTTTACTGGTGTTATAATAAAGAAATAAAATGATGCATTGCCAGGCAAGTGGGTGACCAATCAAGCGAATGTAAATTGATTAAACCAATTCATAAATTAAACCAAGCTGTCTGTTTTCTAGATGCCAGATTTTTTTTTCATATTTTCCCAAAAAAAGAGAGAAAAAAAAACAGGCATTCTCAGTTAATATTTTTAGTTAATATTTTAGTTTTAACTAACGAGTCATTTCAAAAACCTCCCATTTATAAAGTCACACAGATGTACGGTTGTACAACTGCATGCATCTCTTTGTAGCCATTTACAAATGTGTGAACATGGAACTGGGGGTGGAGGGGGTGTGGCCAATGACAGCTCATTTGCATAAAAGTGACAGAGCCCTAAAAAAAAAGAAGCTCATTCTGAGATGAGCTGAAAATAGGCAGAACTGAGCTGGTAAAATTTCATTTTTCTGAGAATTGTTTTTACACAGAATATGTAAGTAACATATCTTGTTAATCACATTAACTTGTTTAAGAAGAACTACATGGTTTTCCAAACTTGAGGAAAGCGTCATAAGACCAGTCAGTCTTTAAAGACTGCAGCAAGATTTAAATTGTTACAGTTCTCAAAGTTGAAGAGCAAATTTACTGACACTTTTTATTTTCTTAGGAATTTGATTTCTATGGTAACAGTGATCAACACAGCCCATTTTTGGCTGAAAAAACTAAACTTTAACCTTTTGTTGTGAGAAGTTGAAGAGGAATAAACATTTTTGTAGCGCACTGCAACCTGGTAACTTTACATTGCTTGCAATGCGTTCGTAATTCAAATTTTTCTGTGATTTTGTCTCTTCACGTTGAATTTAACCTACTTTAAATTGGTACATTTCTTTGATAGTTGATAAACTTGGAAAATACTGCTACAGCTTAAAGGTAGCCTTTGAAAAAAAAGCAGTAAAAAGGCTACTTTGAAACTGGAGCCAAATGTTGCACTGTACTTAAATCTCTCAGACGCCCCTTTAATTTTCTTTATATAGCAAGAGTTTGAAATTATACATCATCATCGTCATCATCATCCCTTGAACATTCTGTTATTTGAAGCTAAATAAAAGTGAACGACGTGTATCTCCAGGACCCCTTGTTGAATCTTTGCATGTTGAACCTGCTTACACGAGGCCTCCGGCTTATAGCTCTAAAATGTATGTTCTTTCCACAGAAAGTGAATAAACACAGCTTCCTGGTGTTTGCATAGGACTAACAACATACCCCCATGTAGCCAGTTTTAGCGATAAAGTCTTTTTGATTGTGTGTGTTGGCCACTAAAACACAGAAATGTCAAAAAGACGTGGCAATTACGTTGCGTGCGGGGCGGCGGGGGGCTGAGATATGGTTTAAATTTGAGCACAGCTGGTCAGGCTCGAAGCACACCATCGCGCATGTGGAGATGTGCGCGTGTTTATGTGCACACACACCTCCGCGGACTAATGCGTAATTGTGCGTGTGCTCTGGGCAGTCCTTTTCTAAATATGTCCAGGGCAATCACGCTCATGCTGTACTGTCGGCTGAGCCGGCGGTTAACGTTTTGGGCGGACACACACCATGTACGTGGGCCAACAATGGCTATGGTGTGTGTGTGTGTGTGTGTGTGTGTGTGTGTGTGTGTGTTTGTGTGTGTGTGTGTGCGTGTGTGTGTGTGTGTGTGTGAGAGAGAGAGAGAGAGAGAGAGAGAGAGGGCGTGTGGTTGGACTACCTCCTCTCCGCTCCCCACCACTCACAGATATAGATGATGCTATTATTTTAACATACTTAGCAGCTGTGTTTTTGGTGGCGAAACACAGTATTCATTTTCCCACCACGGACATCTCTGATGGTGGAGGTGTATTTATATCTGGGGACTGTTTCGCTCCACTTTCTCATGACAAGAAACCGACCTGGAAGCTTCTCAAAGTCAACCCTGGTTAGTCGTTGTGTCACTCCATTTGCTCTAATAGAGACTTTAGATACGGACAATTCCTTCTCTTGTTTGTCTGACGTGGCAGGAGCGTTTTCAAACAATGTTTTTTGTCGTGCAACGTCCGTCCTAAGAATGAAACCACGCTTTCAAAGTCAACCGCGTTGTAACAATGTTCCCAGGATCTTTGGACAGCCTTTAGCTACTGGGATGAGACGCTGGTCCACGTTTTCATGATTCGTTTCACGGCAAATCCATCTGGGAGGTTGCTGAAACAAAATCTGTCTTAGTCTCATCCAGATCTAACAGATTAATGACTCATTTAGGTGAATATGGCTGGTTGTTCTGTGTTGCCTTGTGATGGACTGGCAGCCTGTCTCTTGCCCAATGAATGCTAGAGAAAGGCACCACCTGCCCACTGAAACCTTTTGAGCATAGACTATAAATGCAGACATTGGATAAAGAGAATAAGAACATCAACTAACAGTGTGCGTTTTATTTTCGCAAACAGATCTTGAAGGTTCTCCCAAACTTCAAGCTGAATGGCCGATGAGGTGGTTTGCGAGACTTCCATGTTCACACACACACACACACACACACACACACACACACACACACACACACACACACACACACACACACACACACTTTTCAAACATGGCGCAGACCAGCTGGGGGGCTCCCCTCCAACTTTTCAGGGTAGGTCACGCCACATTCATGTCACAAAACAGTCAACCTCCTCCAAGGTTTCAGTTTCCATCCGCTTGATCACCTTCGCGGGTATTTTGTGAAAAACTGCACAAATTAACGTAATTCCTGGCTGAAAGTGATAAACGCTCCCTAAAAGTTGCTAAAACAGGACTACTAGAAACACGATGTCAACAAAATGTCAAATAAAATGACAATAAAATGCACGAGCAAACTTCTAACCAATCACAGAACACCTCACACAGACCTCTGTACCAAACAGAAGGGCAAGTGGATGCCTTCCTGTTAACAGGATCGGGCGAATGTTTTTTTGTGACTCGACTACGCCGTGAGAGTCGATGTTGACACATTAGATGAAATGTGGGAGAGCCTGAACGATCGACCGACTTGGCTAAAAGTTAGCTGTGATGGTTTACCAGGTGACATG